AGGGTATTTCCAAGCATCCCTCTTCGCTCTGCGACGGGGGACAATGGTCTGTGGTTCCCAACCATGGTCCTTGAGGAACACCATCCTGCATGTTTTGTTTCTCTGCTCCAACACACCTGATTCAGTTGCTTAATTACTTCCTTAAGCTCGGCAGAAGCCTGTTAATTACTCTTTCATTCATATCAGGTGTGCTGGAGCAGAGGAACAACTAAAACACGCAGCATGGGGTTCCTCGGTTGGGAACCACTGGTTAACATTCTTTGAAGGACTGCACATCTCAGTCTTATACCAGTTTTAGACAGAGATCATTTTATGTTGAGAAATGGAATTGTAAATATTTTTGTTAAACCCCAAGAATAGTTTGTGCAGTCCCATATATTACAAGATCTGCTGTGATCTGTTAGTGACTCAGCTGCATCCACAACATATTTTAGCTCAAGATCAGCTAAACTGGTGGAGGTATGGCCATTCTGAGTAACTGTTTGATTAGCTGTGGCGGCCGATCAGCAGTAGACATCAACTTAATGATCAAGGTACTTGGTTTCATTCAAATCCAAACGTTCACATTGAAGAAGAAAAAAATTAGGACTTTTGCTGAAAAACTTTATTAAGACGTGCTATGTTACAAAATGACAGCCGAAGCACAAACGTACCTCAGAAATGTAGCCAAGCCAAAAATACAAGCTCAACTAGTAGAGATGAGGGAAGCTAGTGCCCGAGACGACTTACTGAAGATCTAAGATGGTTTGAATTATAAATCACATATTTTTGGAAAACTAAACTGCTGAAGAAAACAAAGTCCATGCTCAATAATCCAGGTATAAAATCCAACATTTTTCAGTCAGGTCATCTACACAGTTTCTTTTTTTGTGCTGAAACGTTTCGCCTTCGATCCAGAAGGCTTCATCAGTCAAGGAAACACACAAGACAAAACTGATTCTTCCTCCAACAGCTTACTCCAAAGTGGAACAAACCAGTTCTGCTTGTGATTAGATGGTCTCTTTGGTATGCCCATCCTCCATTGCCGGCCCTCTTCCTTGTTGACAGTTTTGTCAAACTGGTTGAAAACAACAATATACCTGGATTATTGAGCATGGACTTTGTCGTTTTCAACCAGTTTCACAAGACTGGCAACAAGGAAGAGTGCCGGTAATGGAGGAGGAGGCGTACCAAAGAGACCATTTTATCACAAGCAGAACTGGTTTGTTCCACTTTGGAGTAAGCTGTTGGGGGAAGAATCAGTTTTGTTGTGCGTTTCCTTGACTGATGAAGACTTCTGGATCGAAGGTGAAACGTTTCAGCACAAAAAAAGAAACTGTCCAGATGACCTGACAAAAAAATGTTGGATAAACTACTGAAGGAAATTTCTATTTAATATAAAGCTGCAGTGAAAGTGTCGAGACAAGACTTTAAATTTATCACATTTTTTTTAGCATTCCTGAAAACTAAAATCTAAATTCATCCAAAACACAAGGTCTCAATGCTCAACTTCTCAATCTTACACCAATGTGAGAGTCCAGAACTCTAAAAGGCTCCAAACCTTTTTACATTTGCATAGACTCTCCCTGCGGTGCTCCTATCTGAACCGATCAGGTTTATTTTCTCCTGCAGAGGCTAAAGAACAAGCAAACCGTACCAAGGCACACATTATGTTGGCACCAAACAGCTACAACAAACAGTGACTTTGTAGAAACAGAAAAAAAAGTCTACATTTAAAACCAGGCTTCATTTGAAGCAGCCAGAAAGCTGCACAATTCAAATCCAGCTTTACATGTTTTGTGATTATTGGGCACAGTGACAGGCTCTTACCTCGAAACCCTTAGAACTAGACACATAAATAAATAAATACACAAACATCTTTGCAACTGTAAACATGAAACATTTGAAAATAAAATTTAGGACAAAAGTAAAAGTTTATTTTTTTTGTTTACCAAAAACACTGCAGATTTTTCACAGCTCATAAACACTTAAATGATCCCAAACTAAATGTTTTAATTTAACAAATGAACTTGGGCAGTTCAGAATAAAATGGCTTCATCTGAAAAGATGAGTTTCCTGTGCAGAGACCTGTCGGGTCCACGTCGAGTTCTGAAAGCCTGCAGAGACGAGGACCAGCTGCTGTCAAGACAACACTTCTACGTCTGGTGATGTCATCCAACTGAAGACGATAACTGGGACAGTTACTGCTCAACGTTTAGAAAAGCTCTTCAACAAACTTACTTTTTACTTTAAAAGCTACACAAATTTAAAAACAAATCAGCTGAGCTGTCCATTTGAGGCAAAAAGCTGAAGCACATAAAACCCTGATAAGCCAAAGCTCATGCACCTTTTCAAAGAGGGCTCGTGTTATAATAGAGACAGTAAAAGTGTTTTTACTTCCAAAGCAGTGGCTCCTGAAGTTGGCCTCAGGACCCCACTATGGGTCACACAACAAGTGGGGGTCCTGAGATGATCTCCAGAAATCAAACTAAATCTATAAATTATTCCTACCAGTTAACTAAAACTGTTACACGAGATTTTAAAAAGCTCTAAACAGATAAAAAACATTTTAAGCTACATGTCATTATGCTCAAAATAATTTACTTTGTAGCAACAATAGTGGGGTTCAACCAGTGATTTGGGTTCAGAAATGTTGGATGTTATTTGGGGGTCAGAATCTAAAAAGTGCTGCTCTAAAAGAAGCTGTGCATCTGATGAGCTCTTTCTGAGCAGACTCTGTTCTCCTTCTCTGAAGAGAACAACTCTTGAACCTCCGTGTGAAGCCCTTAGCTCTAAACTACTCTAAGCACAGCAGAACCAACAAAGCTTCAGAAACACTTCCTGTAAAAACAGCTGTTCTAAATAATATAATTTATTAATATGTCTAACCCACATCTTGAAAGGAACATTTCTTACATCTAGATGTAAATGGAAGTCAGTACCTCACTTCTTTTTCAAGTTATCGTGCTCACAACAGGCACAAATGGATGCACGTAAAGTATCCCCCCCTTTCTACAGTGGCCCTGAGGTGTAAATGAACTACATTTGAAAAAACAAAATTACATTAAAAAAAAAACAAAATTAGATTTGAAAAAACAACAAAAACAACAATATTTGAAAGAACGGAATTACATTAAGCCAAAGCAGGGGTGGCAGGTATGTTAGAGTAACAGAGTGGACAGCTGACTCAGGGACTCAATTTATTTTAATAATTTAAGCATAAAAGATATTTTGATATCATAAAACGTCGAACCATTATAAATAGTACTATTAAAAAATATATTTTAAAAATGACTTTTTTAATTTTTATTACTTAGAACTGTAACTTTATTTCAGGAAGCATGAAAGGGGACATGGCAGTAAACTCAAGTTGCATTTAAAATTAGACCAAAATATTTTAAATGAATTCATTTTGTGTACATATGGCTGTGTTTTATGGTAGAGGTGAGTCAAACATATAAGATGAGATTAATAAAATAAATACTAGCCCACCTTTAAACAAAATACCACATTATGGAATGGGGACTCAAAGGGCAACGAATAGTAGGAATGACTCTAATGTACATTGTTCTGGTTTATGTTGTTAATAAAGTTCCCCCCACAAAAAATACACAAAAAACTCCTCACCACTTCCATCCATCAATCCATCCATTATCTTTTACCCGCGTCTTCCAGTTTTGAGTCATGGGGGTCGACGGTGCCCATGTCCAGCAATTGCTGTGCGAGGGGCGGGGGACACCCTGGACAGGTCTCCAGTCCATCACAGGGACACATAGAGACAAACGAGACAAACAAACATTCACTCTCTCACTCACACCTAGGGACAATTTAGAGTCACCAATCAGCCTAACATGCATGTTTTTGGTCTGTGGGAGGAAACTGGAGTACCAGGAGAAAACCCACGCATGCACGGAAAGAACATACAAACTCCACCCAGAAAGGCCCCTGGACCGGGATTTGAACCAAGGACCTGCTCAATGAGAGGCAGCAGCTCTACCAGTTGTGCCACCGTGCTGCCTTAATGTAATTCTGTTTTATCAAATGTTGTTCAGTTACACCTCAGGGCCACTGCACTTTTCACTCCACAACAGGGGACAACAAACACAACTTGGAGGTCAAAAAGTTTCCAACACACGAGCTCCCTGACACTTTCACTGCTCACCAGCAGGCACTTTTAGAAAAAACTACAACTCTCCTGCTTCACTTGTGGAGTCAACACAAAAAAGGAAGCTCCTGTGATTTCCAAAGTAATAATAAGTGTAATGTCCTGATGCATGCTCAATAATGCAGGTAGAAAAATCCAAGAAAGTTCAATATGGTCCTCTGGACATTCAAAAAAACAAAAAACAAAACAAAGCAAAAAAAAACAAAAAACATGAGAGACTGAGGAAGTCTCTTGGATGAGAGACGAAACGTTTCTACATTATTTTATTTTTTTTTTGCTTTGTTTTGTTTTTTGTTTTTTTGAATGTCCAGAGGACCAGATTGAACTTTCTTGGAATAAGTGTAATGGCATTTATGTGTACTTGTATCAGTACTCAGCATCTGTATTTCATTTTTTCATTTTCATTTACCCTTTATTTATCCAGGTAGTCTCATTGAGTCACGAGAACTCATTTTCAAGAGAGACCTGTTTTAGGGAGCAGATGGTGGGGGTTAAGGGCCTTGCTCAGGGGCCCAGAGTGGGGCGTATGAGGGTGGAGGGAGGTGTGGGTGTTTCACCTTTACCACCCACATTTTGATGTTGACGGTACCGGGAGTTGAACCTGCGACTTTCCGATCACAGGCCCATCTTCTCTAACCTCTGCACCACCACTCCCCAGTATTTAAATATAAGTACTGTTTGAAAACAATGCGGTATCAGTAAATCCCTAAATAAATCACGTAATAAATACTTTTTGCCAAAGAAAACACCTGACAGTGTTCGGGTTAAACTAAGTCGACTCATCGCCTATGAAGCAAAATCAAAGCGTGAAGACGCGGTAAGATTAAAACTGATCATCCTACAACGTCAACGCCTTTCTAGTCAAACTACAAAACTACTAATGTTAAAAAACTTATTTTAGACAATCCTGTTGGATCCAAACCTCGTCCATCAGTCCTGTTTGTAACCCACACCCATCGCGGTGCCTCGTTTGAGCAGAACTTTCAGCCCGTTTTGGCTCTTCTCTGTGTTCTGTGTAACTAAGATAGAGGTTCTGTCTCACTGGAGGTTCTGTGGCTCAGCTCTGCTTCTTCCTGAACCAGCTCCTCCTCCTCCTCTTTCTCCTCTTCTTCTTGCTGCTTCAGCTGCTGCTGATCCTCCAACTGGCTCTCGTCGTCGTCTTCTTTGGAGGGTCGCTCATCTTCTCCCGTCTCCTTCTCATCTGTTGAGAAGATGACAAACCAAACGCAGGGATGAGAAGACGTGAGGGGCAAATGATTCATCCAGTGAAGATGTCAGAAGAGACAGCATCGTTCCTGCTGACATTAGGTACAGAACATGCAGCCTGTGGGGAGGTTGCAGACACCCCAACAGCTTCCTGTACACAGAAAACAACATTTTACCTCCTTAACGTTCAAAAATAATAAAATGTAAAAGAAACACGGTAACTCCTAAAATATAACAGGAAGCTCAGAAAATGAAATTAGTTGCATGCTTTGTTTTTAAACTCAATTCTGAATTTATTTAAAATTATTTAAATACACAAAAGAGAGAAAAGACCCAACGCCACATAGATTAGAAGGAGATGGGACAGAAATCAAATCTAATCTCGTTGAAGCTGTGTGGACTGAAGAACAGAAACAAACCTCCTGAACTGTAACTAAAACCATTGTTCAGTAAAGTGCGACTAAAATCAACAACCTTAAAATTAAAGAAACCCCAACCAATCAAACAATCAATAAACCAATCTGTCCATCATGACATAAACCAGCATGAACATATCAAATTACTCGTTTGTGTGTGTGTGCATGCGCGTGTGTGTGTGTAAATCATGAAATGTTTTACTTTGATTTTTCATGTAGAAATCTAGACGATGCTACATCTGGGTAAAACCCTTTTATCGTGTAAAAGGAACATGAGCAGCTCTGTTATCAGGCTGTCACACAGTGACGTATTCCTGTAGCAGCATCAGCGTATGAGAAATGCCAAACACGCAGGTGTACATCACATAAGTTAGGTGTAGGTTTTGAATAAATTACCAGCACGCTGATATGCGATCGCATAAGTTGTTGTACGCCGATGCCAGCCAACTGTAGGCTGATGTGTTGCTGATGAGTAAGGTATAAGTATTTGTGAACATCACTTGGAACTATTTTCAGATTAGTTTAATCTACTTTGTGAACAAACATGCTCCTTTTCGTCAGTTCAGAATAAAGGGACGAGACAGCCCCTGGTTTACTCCAGAGCTAGCTGACCTCCTGCACAGGAGAGATCATCTTTGGACTACAACCAGACATTCTGACTCAGACACTGACTAGCTGAATTTTCGGCAGATGAGGAATAAATGCACAACTGCCATCAAATCCGCAAAACGCAACTATTTCTTATCTCAGACCTCAAAAAATCTAAATGACCCTACAGATTCTGGAAAACCATTAAATCTCTCTCAGGCAGCTACCAATCATCTGTCTTCCCATCACAACTTCTCGTTAACTCTGTTCCTGTGTCAAATAAGCACGAGATCCTGAACTGTTTCAACAAACATTTTGTTGCTTCTAGTTCTTTATTTGACACAGTTACTAATGGAAAATCAGCCACTTCACTTAATAACCAAACTTCTACAAATCAAATCCCTCCTACAAGTCAATCCTCAGTTAATCACACCTTCTCTTTTTCTCCATTCTCAGTCAGTGAGGTCAATAAACTGTTAAAAGATCTTGATCCTAAAAAATCTGCAGGTCCAGATGAACTTCCACCTTATTTTTTAAGGCTGGCTGCTCATATCATCACAGTCCCTGTGACCCACATCTTCAATCTCTCCATAAGACAAAACTCCATCCCAGACACTTGGAAAACAGCCTTTGTTCTTCTTTTGCTGAAGGGAGGTGACCCCACCTCACTGAACAACTATCAACCAATCTCTAAACTCTGCATTTTAGCCAAGGTTCTAGAAAAACTGATAAACTCTCAAATCAAAAATTACCTGGACTCATTTAACATCTTACCTCCACATCAATCTGGTTTCAGGAAACAACACAGCGCAACCACTGCTTCACTGAAGGTTCTTAATGATGTTGTTGAAGCACTGGATGCTAAGGATTATTGTGCTGCACTTTTCTTAAACCTGTCTAAAGCTTTTGACACTGTGGATCATAACATCTTGTGTCATAAGCTCTCAGAAATCGGTTTCTCAGAACAAACCATTAGTTGGTTCAACATAATGGTACTTCCTCCAGTTATTTAACAGTCAACAATGGTGTACCACAAGGCTCAGTCTTAGGACCCACCCTCTTTACAATCTACATAGTTAATGTAGGTCAAAGCATCCTTGATGCATCCTTACAGTTCTATGCTGATGACACAGTTGTTTATTGTTGAGCTAAAATAATTGATAAAGCTTTCCAGCTCTTACAGTCGGCATTTGAATCATCCAGTCAGATTTGTTTAATCTCAAACTGATGCTAAATGCTGATAAAACCAAAGGGATTTTGTTTTCAAACAGGAAGTTGGTACCAGCAGTCCTCCTGTCTATTTTATCTTTGAATCGTGTTCCTGTTGAGTTTGTCGATTCTTACAAATACTTGGGTATTTTGGTCGATTCACATCTCTCTTTTAAGCCCCATGTCAAAAACTTGGTAAAGAAACTGGCAGTAAAACTGGGTTTCTTTTTCAGAAACAGATCCTGTCAAACTCTGAATGCTAAGAAACACCTTGTAACTGTGACTTTCCTTCCCTCCACTGACTACAGTAACCTTATTTACATGAACGCTCCTACAAGCACCCTGCAGATGTTGGATGCTGTCTATCACGGTGTGCTAAGATTCATAACTGGCTTTATCTACCATACCCATCACTGAACTCATATTCACTGGTTAACTGGTCATCATTAACTTCACACAGACTCTCTCACTGGTATATTTTCATCTTTAATTCACTTCTTGGTCTGTTGCCTTCATACATCTCCTCCTACATTTCACTGTGAGTGCAGCCAAAGCATGCGCTCTCAGGACATTATTACCTGCAGTGTTCCTTCAGTGCGGACTGAACTTGGCAAAAAGGGCCTTCATTTACTCCACTCCCGTTTCCTGGAACACCTTATAAAAAGATCTGAAGTTGTTGACCTTGACCTCTCTAAGGGATTTTAAGCATCTGCTAAGTTCATGGCAAAAACCAATGCGGACGTGTTCCTGTTTTTAATATTTTACACTGCTTTATAATGTAGCTGCTTTTGTTTCATTACATAATTTCTTCTATTTACTTTTCATTTTATATGCTTTTATGATCGTCTGTTGTTGTCTGTACCTCAGCTATGTTCTTTGCTTAGATCAGGTCTCTCTTGTAAATGAGTCCTCGTGACTTAATGAGACTAACCTGTTTAAATAAAGGTTGAATGAATTCGAGAGGCAAGTTATGTATAAGTTCACACGTTACATGTAAGTTACTCATGTTACGTCTGACACCTGCTAGGCAATTGTGGAACATACAAGTAACTTATTTCTAACATATGTGTAAGTTATATCAGACATTTCTTCAATGTATTGTAATATCTGTGCCTTAAAGGTGTAATGTTCCACGTTACAAAGAGGAGGGGGAAGTTATGGATAAGTTACTCATGTTATTCAACTCGATAGCGATAGGATATATTCAGAAATGGCTTCCAGCTGATTTACTTTTTCCATCGTATGGCAGCGTGTTGGACACAAATTTGAATGTCAGCATAAGTTCTCTAAAACGTTAGTGTGACAAAGCTTTTAGCTCAAGTAAATTACTTTGAAAATGTTCAAAGACTTTTTCCATTTTTAGGAAATGAAAGAGAAGGAGTCTGAAAAGAAAAATGGTTTTCCATACTTACCAAAACCTAACAATTACTAAAAAGACACATCCAGGCTTTTCTAGAGCAGGCCGGAAGCCCGAGATCAGATAATGTGGTAAAACTAAATAATTGTTCCGTTGCTTTTATCAAGACTTGACAAAACCCAACTTGTTGAAACATTTTGTCCACACAGAGACCAGATCTGAGCCAAACAGGCCTGGTTTGAGATTTTTTTATGTTTTGAATTAGTTGAAATTTGAATTTTTGAGTGTTTTTGACAATAGTAAAACTAGTGAATGTAAACAAATAACTTGTCTCAAAAACTTCAGTGACTGTGTAAACTGTTTAAACTGAAGTAAACCAGATATTTGTTACCGATACCAGTATTGATCCAAATCTGGTCTGGTGTTGTGCAACAATTGATTTGGTTTGATTAGAGCTAATTCTACAAATATTATGATTAGAAAAATTGAAAAAATATGGTTTGGGTAAATGTTTAATTACTACAAGTGATTGAGTGATTGAAGGAAAGAAGGGGCAGGGTAACCTGGACTCTGCGGGGCTCGGCTCTGAGGATTCTTTGGACTCTGCTGGATCTTGAAACTGTGGACCAAATTCCACGGAGCTGGAGCTTTGGATAGAGGCAAGACCACACCATTAAAGTCTGACTGGTGCCACTGCGCTGGTTAATGTGGCATTTACTAAGAAGGACTGCTGAGGGAACTAAAATACTGAAGAACTAATAACAGTCATGTAGCTTCTCACCATTTCTTTTTTTATTCTTGTCTGCAAAGGTTCTAATGACTTCAAACATCTGTTAGCATTTATCTCTACAGTAAATTTACTTTTTTAATGAAAGGCAAATTAAATGCGTGCATCTAAGAAGGCTCAGGCCCTCTTAGTAAAACTGGAGAAAAGAATGAAGGTCTTAAATAATTATGATAGTATAAGACAAAGAATTCAAATGTTCCTGCTGAACTGTTAGGACGTGGTGTAAGTAAACTAAAACACACACAAAAGTTTGAGTGGAAGACTGAATACCTGCACTAAAGAGTCTCTTTAAATCAGAGTTGTTTATCTGTCTCATCAGTGATGTTGTTCTGAGTCCAAAATGTCTTTCACTGTCACACTGATCCAAGAAAGAGGCCCCATCGTGTGTGGATGCTGTGTGTTCCTTCGTACCTCCAGAAGGAGGAGCGCTCTCCTCCGTGTCGGTCCCAGAACGTGGCGGGGGTCCAGGTGAACTTGACTCTGCTCTCAGCCTCCTCTCATAGCTGAACTCAGGAAGTCTTGGAGCCTGAGGCCGGGTCTTCCTGGCCGGGTTCAGAAAGTAGCAATACGCACAACGAAACGCTGGTGGGACAAGTTGGGAAGAAACAGTATCAACAAAAAACATTGTAAACAAGTGGCACACGGCTGTCTCTCATCACTGAGGGGCTTGAACAGTGAATGTTTGTAGTTTTAGAAAGGAGTTTTCTGGACTGAAACTGAACAGGGATTGGAAGTAAACCTTAATGTTTTTGGTGCAAGATATTCAATGAGTAGGAGTTGCACTGTGTATAAAAATAGAGGTAGTTTTATTTTTTTGGCTTGTCCAAGGCAACGCAGAGTGACAGATCCTGGCAACTGGAGTGGACAATTATATCCACTAACAGGTGAAATGGCAGAGCAGGGGGGTGGCCAATAGTGGATTTGGCAACCCAATTTCTGATGTTGACCTTTCTTACACCTAGATGCAGCCACACACCAAAATGGAAGTCGACACATTGCTAATTTTTGTAGTTATCCAACTCACAAGGTTATATATA